GAAATACCTCTTCCAGACAAGTTTTTTTTTTTTTTTTTTTAACCCGACATCATTATTTACCGTCTCGCCTCTACCGTTCGGCGGTTTAAACCTAATTGCGTTAAATGCACTGCAGCTGTGCCCCTAAAAGGAGCGTCTGCTGCGCTCGTCGCTCGTTTCCGGGTGGCGTTTCTGGCTAATTGCCTAAAAAATGCGTGGACGATCGAGTTGGGGCTCTTGTCCGACATGATCGAGTTCGAGTATTTTTCCTCTGATTAAGGTACTTTGGACGATCGTTCGTTTGCATGCGATACTATTAAATGTAAATAAGATGGCAGAGCCGACGGCGCGAAATAATATCTTTAGTCGAGGTGCACGTTGTCGCCTCGGAGGATCTTCGGCGGCTGTTCGATCTTTCATCGATTCAGTTTTGCTGTTCTGTTCGAAAGTTTTATTACAACAAATAAAAATCGCGCGATTTGAACGCTAGAATTGCCTAGAAGTGTAAGAAACAGAAGAGAATTTGGAGTACAAAGTGCCAATAGTTTCTTCCTTTTTTTTTTTTTTTTAAATAAAACATCGAAATGTAAGAAAGAGTTAATTTTATTAATTTTAGATTAAATTTAAAATTACTAATATTATTTTAGTAGACAGTGATTTTTTTGGTCCACCCTGTACAACAAAGAAGTAGAACTACTATTCATATATTTTACCAAAATTCATTAATATATTCTATCGATAGTCAATCGAGTCTCCAAAAATACAGCAAAATGTACAAAAATACAGCAAAATGTACAAAAATTTCTATGGAAAATTATGAATTTGTCATTTTGATCAATTTTGCAGTACTGATGTGAAGGAACTGGACATTCTGCAATACTTTTTACAAGATTTGTTCTTCCAAGAGTTTACAAAATACAACTAGATTTTATATATATATAATAATTATATATGATTACATATATACAACCATATATAATTATTTTATAATATATATATAACTGGACATTCTACAATATTTTTTGCAAGATTTGTTCTTCCAAGAGTTTACAAAATACAACTAAATACTATATATATATATAAAATAAATAATAAAATAATAATATTATATATATAAAATAAAATAATTATATATGATTATAGATTATATATATTATAAAATAAATAAATAAATAAATAAAAATATATATATATATATAAAATATTGGTATGATTACAGACATCTACGTGAAATTTCCAAACGTGAGAATTTGAGAGTGTCCATGAATATAAAAATGTCGATCGAGATCGCTGGCAGTGCATGTTTACTGTCGCGTTAGAGACGAGTTCCCGAGGCTATAAAAAAAAACTCGATCATGTTCAATTTATCGTTTCGCCTTTTCCGATGAATTATTCAAATAAAAAAGAAGCTGACACGTTCATTCACGGTCTACTTTAAATACAGCCGTTAGTACGCGCAGTGAAAAATTGTTTTACATACGGCGGACACCTATGTTTACTTCTATGCACAAAAATTTTGATTTCTGTATAGAAGTTACATTATTAATGACAATAAAAATTACATTCAATCAAAATATGTGTATTGTTAGCTCTATCAAAACGAACCAATTATAATTAAAAAAAAAAAAAAAAAAAAAAAAAAAAAAAAAAAAAAGAAGAAGAATATTACATCGATCAGACTTTTACATTACAAAAATATGGTGAATCATTTTCTTTTATTATTGAACAAATTTAGGTATACCATTAACATCTTGTTATCGTTGCAACGAGTAGGACACTAGTTTCAACACTAAAACCACCAACGAAAAAGTATCATATTGCCCGTAGCAAAGGAATTAAAGTGCAAGGTACATTATAATAATACAATAAAGAGTACAAGCCTCTGTTCATATAGTTTGTTAAAAGTCGCGTTTTATTAATGATGAGTTTTATCTAAAAATGAGAGTGATCTACTAGAAACACACTGTCAGAAATGTATAAAATCTCCCACGGAAGATTGTAAATTAATCATTTGGACGACTTTGGTGGTTCCAGTGTTAATAGGACAGAAGATGTTGTGGTGAAACGCATAGATCGTTAATCAGCGTCCTCGGATGCTTATGGTCGCGTCGCGTTCACTTTGAACAGTCATAAACCCACTGTTTGACAGACGCAGGTCTCGTTTAATCGTCGCGGCTGATGTTCCACGGTACAATTTACATTGTAATAGTAAGTAATATCATGTTCGGTAATGCGTGGTTGCGCAACCGGTCGTGATCGAGCGCGTCGGCCAAACGCCGGACAAATTTCTCGGCCTTCTGCGCGAAGCTAATCGCTTCCAGGGATTTTCAGGTGTAATGAGAGGGTTTCAAGTATAACGTGCGTTTTTTTGAAAATTTTATAGCCTCCCAAAGTTGACCTTTACGTTTCGGATGTTTCGCATCGAGCGACTGTAATTCGATACCGATGTTGCAAAAATTTTACCGAGATGAACTCGCCTTTATCGTTTAAGTAAGTATCAATAATAGGAAGGAATACGATTTGAATAATGGCAACCTTGCTCCGCTTAACATTCCCCAGTTTTGTCACATCCTCCTCAGCTAATTAATTCGGGATTTTCTGTCAATTAGATCGTTTAATTGTAAACGAGATGCAAAGGCTGATTTCCATTACTTTTGCTATTATTATTTATCGTTTCGAATCTTCTTGAACGTGTGTGCGTGTGCGTTTATGTATGTACCTTAGAGATAGCCATAAGTAATGTCGTTTTTTTGCCATCTACAGTAATTTAACTTATCGCAACATAACCTAAAATATATAACCTACGAATAAATTGACATTTAGATATACATTAACGTAACCTGAAATACATATGAATAAAGTGACATTTAGACATACGCTAACATAACCTATAAATATATTGACATTTAATGTGACACTTGTCATATTAAATTATAGATTTATTGTATTACAGATGACATTTATTATACTAAATTATATTACAGATTAAAATTGTATTAACTTTTAAACGAAATAAAAAAGTTTGT